AGGCAGTTAGACTTGATTATCTTAATGTTTTTTTCCAACCCTGCTGATTCTATGATTCTATGAACACGTTGCTCTGCCCGTGTACTTTCCATGGACCAAAGCCACTGCTCTGAGCTGCTCTGGACACGGCTCCACCTTCTCATGGCTTGCAAGGCACAGTTCAATGCCTTTGCCTTAGTTGTGCTTGATCCCATTAATGACAAAGATGACAAACACATATGCTTTGCCTTTATAGCTATTTCACGCTTTGACATGATCCCGGGCAACTCACCTATGCTGTCAGAGTGATGGATGGTGCACAGAAGGGGGCTTGGACAGGTGTAGCTCCTGTCACAGGGAAATATTTTTCCACACCATTAGCCTGTGGAACTCATAGCAACAGGATATCACTCAGAGAGGGACTCAGAAAAGCCCTGAAAAAGGAGTGTCCAGAGTGGTGGGAGCAAACGGTAAGAATAATCAATAGGGAAGGATGTGAAGGATGCGAATCACACAGGCTTGGCTGCTACAGGTCTGGGGAGAATATGTTCCCCAGCAAAAAAATCATCCCAAGAAGGCCTTGCCTGTGGCCCTCTACATCTTAAGAAGGGGCTATAAGAAAGAAGGGGACAGACTCTTTAGCAGGTCTGTTGTGATGGGACAAGGGGAAGTGGTTTCAAACTCAAAGAGAATTTGGATTGAATATATGGAAGTTCTTTACAATAAGATGGTGAGGCACTGGCACAGGTTGCCCAGAGCAGTGGTGGATGCCCCTGCTGGAACATCCTCAGGATCAGGCTGGGCAGGGCTCTGAGTGCCTGATGGATCTGTGGGTGCTACTATTCTTTGCAGGGGAGTGGGACTAGACGACCCTTAGGGATCCCTTACAACTCAGATAATTCTGTGATTCTCTTAAGATGCTCCCAAACCCAGAGCTCCATCCTCACCTTGGACACCCTCACTTGTAGGACCAGAACGAGCCATGACTCCACGTAGAGCCTGCCTTCAAGCTCACCTTACCATGTGCAGCCACAATTCAGACCGTGGCTTTGAGGAAACAAGTGGGTAAACCCAGCTGGGCAGAGTTGGGATGAGCATCCTGGCCCCAGCATGAGGGCAGGGCAGGTGGCACGCTGCTGACAGCCTGGCTGTAGCCAGCAGAGGGCATGGAGCTTGCATGGAGCTTACACAGGCACTGCAAGCCCTGGGTGCCTCAAAGCACAGCTGAGATAGAACGCTTGATTTGGAATAATCCATTCATGCGCCCATTTCCCTTCCTCCACCCGTACTGTAGATGAAAGGTGCAGTGAGAGCCTGAGCCTGGGGATGGTTCCAGAGGCTGCAGGACGTGGTCACAGGGCTGCCAAATTCCAGCACTTTCTCCTTACACTTGCTCCTCTGCAGCAGGGTGGTTGCCGACGGGCAGCGGGATCCCATGCTGGCACATCCCTACCCCACACGTTCCCTAGTTGCTGCTAGAATGTATCATATGTACCGATTTTGGTTATGAAATAGAAGCTGGAGGACACGATGACAAACGAGGAGTCGTGCTTTACGATCCTTACGCTGATGGCCATAAGGAGCCAGCAGGCACCGCTCCCGGCGTGATTTGCACATAGGCTTGACTTTATGTATTATTGGTAATCCTATTGAAATCTGCATGCATAAAGTTAAGTGCATCTAATCAACTCCGTAGGTTCAGATTTGTATATATTAATTTAATTCCGCCGTCAGTATTTAGAGCAGCTCCTGCACAGAGCAGTTACGGCGCTGCGACAGACCGTAACGACCTCAAATTTTGTTTAATATTAAGTGCAGAAAAAATATGAAACGGAGGCACCCCTTATTACTCTTCGAGGCGAACAATGAGCACGACGTTAAATCAGATGCTCAAAGTTATTTCGGGGTCCAAATGATCAGCACTGAATGTATGTCAGTGGAAATTTTTCCTATGGGCCTCTGTGCATAGCGCAGCTCCGTGGCGGTGCACAAGGCCGTGTTTATGGATCCATTTTCAGGATCAAAGCCCTCATTAGTAATACGGATTAATGGTAATTACAAATATAAATAACTTGAGTGTATCTTCTCGCTTTCCTCTGAAGACGTTACTCACAGAAGGCAGCTGGATGCCAGGCTTATTCCTTAAATCCAAACTGTATTAAGTTCTCGGGTAATAGTGCGGTAACATAAAGTTACATAAAGCTGTGTTATTATTTTTCAGGCCTCAGAACACGGAGCTTGATTCTCAGCTCGCATTAACTGGAGCCCAGCTCTGGATTCAGATCCTTTTTTCCATACTAAGGAAGTGAAAATGTAAAAAAAAAAAAAAAAATCAAATTGCTTTTTGGCTAAGAACAAAAGTAAGAAGTTGAAATCGGAGGGATCGTTTTTCACAATGTTGTAAGTACCAAAAATACAGCCTTATAATAAAAGCAGTTTCTTACCAAGATTCTGTAATTGCTACTATGAAGCTGAAGCTCAAGTTGGACTGCAGTGCTCACAAGCTGAGCATTTTCTCCAAATCCTTGGGAAATGGGGGCTGCTTTAATGCGTTTTCCTGACATGTGTCACAACTCTGATGTTATTTAAACATGGCCAATCCATATCAACCTACGGAACATACACCTCAGTCCTCAGCTGTTTGGTCATGTCGGGGTGGGGCATGCTGCAGGACCAATGCCTTAGGAATGTGTGTGGTGCCCATTCCCTGGGGCATGGCCATTAAGGCAATGGCCTTAAGTTGTGCCAGGGGAAGTTCAGGCTGGATATTAGGAATATACAATTCTCCAAAAGAGCGGTGATGCAGTGGCACAGCTGCCCAGGGAGGTGGTGGGGTCACCATCCCTGGAGGTGTTCCAGAACAGTGGGGATGTGGCACTGAGGAATGTGGTCAGTGGGCATGGTAGGGTGGGGTGGGATTGGACTGGGTGATCTTAGAGGCCTTTTCCAACCTCTGTGATTCTGTGATTCTATGAAGATAGAGACAATTTCAGTGAGAAATAAAGGGAAGAGGAGGAAATTGAACACGAAGTGTGGTACGGATGGAGCAGCTTCAGTGCACTGCAAGAGCAACCCCCTATGGGCCTTCCCATGTCCCAGGCATGGACACCTCTCACCGGGTGGATCGTTCACACCGCAGGGCAGCATGAGGTAGAAACAACCTACAGACCTCAGCAGTGGGTTGCTGCTCACACCACAGCTGTTGGGTGACAGAAGCACATTGTCCCTTCCTCTGCCTCACGGACTGAAGACAGCCCAAGCAGTTGATGATGCTAATGGAGAAGACTTCTATTTGTAGCCTGTGCTACGTAGTATGGTCATATTTTGGAAGTGGCAGTGCAGAGTTAGGCAAGAGCTGGCGCTGGCTGGATTATTCTATTTTTAAGAACAACCCAAAATTATTTAGCAGTTGGTGAATAAAAACAAAAAGGTTCCCTCCTGGGTGGAATAAATAAGTCCATCATCCCAGTCCCCTGTGTACTTCACGCAAAACAAGAAGGCAATAAGGTCTTTCATCTGATCCCCCATTTGAAACTCACTCTTCCATTCCATGCAGCAGGCAGTTTTGCACAGGACAACATCAGGGAGCATTAAGCCAGCTCTATGCATGCAGCCATCGGGGCAACGCTGACAAGTCCCCGATCTTGGGGATGTTAAAGGTGGATTTGGAGGCGCTGCTCCCCCGGGTGCCGGGATGCACAGCGGGGGGTGGGGGGAGAAGCTCTGTGCCCGAACCCCGGGGGGGCTCCCATGCCTCCCGCTCGAAGCTGGGGGGGTCCGGGCTGCCCGCTGCGGGGGATGCTGATATTTGGGATGCAAAACACAGCGGGTGCCGGGAGCTGGGTAGGGCAGCGCGGAGGGGCGGGGGGGGCACGGCACGCTGGGAGGGCAGCAGCTCCCCTGCCCTTTATTTGAGCAACTTCGGGGGCTGCGTGCGGCAGGCGGGTGGGCTCCCGATGCTGGACTGCATTTCCCATAGTGCCCGAGCGCCCTAATGTATGCAGTGCTGAGCCCGGCTCGGTGTGCGAGTGTGTGTGTGCGTGTGTGCGCGCGTGTGCGCGCGTGTGTGTGTGTGTGTGACTGTGTGTGTGCAGCCGGGAGTCCCTCGGAGAGTGGAGGCTCATTCACTGATGAGAGCCGGCACTGAGAGGCAGCACTGCTCCTTCCCTCGCACCCCCGGCGCCTCCCGCTCCGCTCCATGCAGCAGCGGGGCCAGCACGCCCGGGACTGCCCCGCTCCCCGCACCGTGAGTACCGGCACCGGGCAAACTTCGCAGGGCAACTTTCCCCCCTCCCTCCCCGACTCCCCGCTCCTTCTCCCTTTCCCCTTTCTCCTTCCCCAGCCCCGGCGAGCAGGGCTGCTCGGAGGGCCGGGTGGGCGGGTGGGGAGCGGCATGGTAATGCCGAGGGGAAAGGCGGATAAAAGGCCCCCCCCCCACCGCCTCGGAGAGCCCCCGGCCGCCCGGATCCACCCCCCTCCCCCCGGTGCCTTTCGGGGGGGACCGGCAGCCAGCAGGGGGATCAGGTGCCGGGGGCCCGGGGACGGCGCTGGGCGGGGGGACTCGACCCGACCCGGAGCGCGGAGCCCTCGCTCCGAAATCTTTCCCTTTTTAACTCTTCTATTATTATTATTATTTTTAATTTGGAGGGGCAGCGCGGCGAGTTGTTTCCTCGCTGCCCTCCGCTGCGATCTCTCTCTCTCCACCGTTGCTCCGGGCAGCAACGATTTCATTTCCCAGCGGCTGCAAAACAAAAACTTTTTCAAAGGAAATAAGCAGATCTGCTGCCTGTGCCACGCGCAGACCCTTCGCTTTTTTTTTTCTGATTTTTTTTCCTTTTTTTCTCTCCCCCCTCACCCCCCCACCCTTTCTGTTTAAAACACGCGAGCGTTTTTCTTTTGCAATACAAGTGCCCGCAGCACCGCCGGGCTCTCTGCACGCCGAGCAGCCGGAGGATCCCATTCCCTCCGAAGCTTTCCTCTTTTTTTTTTTTTTTTTTTTTTTTTTAATTTTAATTTTTTTTTTTTAATCACCGGGCGAACTTTTCTAGTTTTTAAGCCGTCCCCAAAATGCGCGATCCCCAGTCGGAAGAGCGATTTGTGCGCCGGTGCCGCTCAGCTTAAATTCGGCCGGGGCTGAAGTTTCGCCCCCAGCTCGGCTTCTCCATCCCCGGCGTTTTTCCTCCCCTTCCCCGACCGCCTCCAGGTAGGAGCCCTCCCGCACCGCACCGCTCCGCTCAAACAAAGGTAGAGTCGCTTTAAATTGTCGCCGTTCTGCAACGAATGCGCTAAAATTACTCCACGTGTCAATCGCGGAGCGTGGAGAGCCGCAAAGGTGAAGGGATTTGTGCGTGTTTTCGCTTAGAAAACTTTCCGGATCGTCGAGAGCTCGCAGGGTTTTATTTCTTTTTCGCCGGCTCTAGAGCAGGGAAGCTGTAAATAGGGGTGGAAGCACGGAAAATAATTCCTCACCTTCAGATCTAAATACATAAAAACCATCTGTTTGACCACAATGAAATCATTAGGAACTGTCTACTTAAAGAGTTGTGTTGAATGCTTATCCTTCCACACAGGAAACGTGGATGGTAAGTGATTGTTGCAATAAATTCAAACAACTCCGCGGTCATCCCCGCGTTTGATGATCTGTGTGACCCGGGGCTTTGAGGAGGGGAAAAAGTGGTAGAAAAAGGATCACGGAACGGGTAGGGCAGGGCGGGGGGGCGGAGGGAGGGTGGGCGAGGGCAGCCCGACCGAGCCGTGCCGTGCCGTGCCGTGCCGTGCCGTGCCGTGCCGTGCCGTGCCGCGCCGCACCGCACCGGGTCGGGCCGTGCCGTCCGTGCGGGGCTGTGCCGAGCTGAGCCGTGTCGGGTCGGGCCGTGCCGAGCTGAGCCGTGCCGTACCGGGCCGGGTCGGGCAGTGCCGTCCGTGCGGGGCTGTGCCGTACTGAGCCGTGCCGAACCGTGCCGGGCCGGACCGTGCCGTGCCACCAAACACCTGTTTAATTTACCGCCGCCCACATCGGACCCGCGGGGCAATCTGTAGGCTGCAACGTGGGCATCGCCCCTCTTGATTTTATTTTATTTCCTTGTATTGAAAACCTCTCCGAGTGGCAGCGAATACTGAAGCGGGAGGAGTGGGGCCGGCGGCGGAGTGGGGCCGCTCCGGGCCGCCCGCTCCGCGCTCCCCCCGCGGGCGCCGGTGCCGTTCCGGCTGCGGGACGGGGGGGCCGCGCCGCGCACAGCCGTAGGTAGGTGTTGGTTGCTTTTTTTCCTCCCTTTCTCCTCCTTTTATTCTTTTACAAAACCCCAGGCGCTTCCTCCCTGCAGCCCGCCGCAGGGTATCCCCTCTCCGCCCGGGGGCTTCTTCTTTTTTTTTTTTTCCCTTTTTCTTTCTTTTGGTTTTCTTTCTTTCATTTCTTTCTTTCCTCATTTCTTTTCTTTCCTCTTTTCTTTTTTTTTTTTTTTTTTTTTTTTTTT